GGCGATATGTTGTGATGTGCATCCCTAGATGTTACTGCAGAACTCTAACTTAGTCATTGTTTTAAATGAATAAGATAACTGATAAATAATCAAATAAATAGATATTTTAGATTAGATAAGTAGTTCTTGACTGGGATTTCAGTGATTTTAAGTACTGAAAAATCACCCTGACAAACATAAAACATAAAAGCTCAGGGCAGGTCTATTCTAAAATATTATACATTCTTACTCAAAATCGTTATCTTTAAAAATAAAAATGAAAGGGTTTTTTACTTTGGAACACAACTCTTGTGCTTTATAACCTGTTGTGGTCTTTGTCTCTTACTTCAGCCACGTGTCAGCATTAGTTCAACAGGAAATGGGTCTGTGTGACAAAAATGACAGTAAAACAAACAGAGGACCTTCCATGCGTCACCATGAGTAAAGTCATCCCTCCATTTGTCTCCTGGTTGGGGTGAAGGAATGACAGATTAATGACAAGCAGAGCTTGAATTGAGACCATATACCCTATTATTAAAGTGTAATTGTCAAGTCTCCTTAAACACACAAAAAAAAGGAGATAATCATCACTTATCACACAACGCATGAGGTGTTTGTCACACTTAACGTGGATCCTTAAACACTAAAACAAACAACAAATGCACACTGAAAAAGGAAAAAAACCCTCATCAGAGCAAGATAAAGCTGAAAAACCTTGTTTCCACCCAATTCACAACACACATTTACCTTTGAGAGAGCTGACAGACATCCTGTTCCTAATACATGTTGCTTTTCACCGCGGACCCAAACTTTTTTTTTTAATCCACAATACTACGAATTCAAAATATCACCCATGTGAATTATTTCAAATTTTACCTTCAGATTGTTGCATTTGAAGCAATTTATGATGATGTAAAATCAAATCAAGTTACTTTTGCACATAAAAATTAAAGATGCTAAAGATACATATTACAGATCAACCAATATTAGAGTCTTTAATTTTAGTCAATATTGAATCATTCATGATAATTTCCTCTATTTTTACATTTAGATTTCTTTTCCTTCAACTGACATTCACATGCAGTTTTAAACACCATTATTTAATATCACTTAGTTTTAAATAGAGCCACTTTTAAATAGAGCGCGTTATACTCATGTATAACGCGCCACACATCCTGCAACCTGCTGATTACGGTAGCTTATAAGGCAATGTAGGGACTAATTATTATTTTATTTATCAGAACTTTAACATATTTTGATGTTCCTCTGTTCTGTTGTTACCATAAAAGAAACACGTTTCTTTTTGAAATGCATTATCATACTATTTTAGTTAAACTCATAAATAACTACAAATAACTAATGTTAGGGAAATCTGTTAATGTTTTGGTGCGCGTTTCTGGAAAAAGATTTTTTAAAATATCGGCCGATATATCGGAATATCGGATTTTAAAAACCAACAAATATTTGTATCGGTATCGGCTTTAAAATCCTTTATCGGTCGGGCTCTACTTTTAAATGTAATCTTCAGAAAAATCACAAAACGTATATTTATCTTGCATTGCACTGCACATTATAACTGTTTAAATTCACCAGGTGATTATTTAAAACCTCAGATTTTTGTTTATAGCATTGTATGTTTAATTCATTTAGATAAAATTATGTTAAAACATGAAAGTAATTATTGGTGTCGGCACAGATGTTTAATAGGTGCCTCCCTAGTAAAACTCATAATACTCAAAGAGAGGTCAGAGGATTAAAGCACTGGCACCGTTACAATGGAAGAGAAAAATTCCTAAGCAACACAAGCAACCATTTAGGCTTCCAGAGAGCATTTACCAAAAAAACAACAACAACTGATCTTTCTACCCAACTTGAAAGTCCCAATAAAGAGCCAGTATAGGCCCGAAAGAAGATTCAAATAGCACACACAGCAGCTAAAGGCTGATGGGAGCAACACAATCTCCCTCTGAATCCTTCTCATATCCCATATCACTCCTTTATCATCATCATCTTATACCGCTCTGCAACTAGGACATCAGTAGAGACTTCACATCCAGCTGTCCACTTGCCATTTTCCACACAATAGAGCATGTGTTCCTAGAGTATACTAGAGCATTTAAGGAAAAGGAAGAAAAAACATGTAGGAGAGCATTGATACATGTTTCCAGACAGAGTCCCTCGACCCAGAGCAGAGAGTGAACTTCCTGAAGACCGAGAAAACTGGGAGAACATCTGTATGTGGCCCAGTGAGAACATGTTGGGAGTTCTGCTGGTCTCATGGACACAACCAATCATGTGGGGGTCAAAAACCGAGCATAATAAAAAGAAACACTAGCAGGAAGTACTTGAGGAATCTACACAGAGAGAAAGGATCCTGCCTACAATGCGGTTATTAGCTGGAGGGAAGAGCTTTAACAAAGATTGAATGCTGTGAAAGAACTTGGTGAAAAGCACAGCTGTTTCTGCTGATCAATAATTCACTCTGTTGCTGGAAAGTCTAGCAGACTAAATGTGGCAGCAAGATCTGTGGATACAGACTACAAGATGTGTTCGCATAACAATTGGTTTATATGCAAATTCTGCTTTGCATCACAGGAATAGCCTACATTATTTTTCAAAATATATTCAAATAGAAAATTATTTCACAATAATACTGCTTTTACTGCTGAAGACATTTGCATAAGCTCTGCAATTCAGCAATCCAGTCAAACCAAGTCACGTTTATAAACCACTTTGTACAAAGTAGCCTACTGCAAGCACCATTACAGTACTAAACATAAGTGTCAGAGTCTCTTTCAATTAGAATTACAACTTCATTTTCTACAATAAAACGGCTTTCCTGCGTGTTCATGTTTTTACTCACGGACGTAAAAACATGGACTAAGCCCGAAGGAATTAACCAGTTTGTCCTCCAATTCCACTTGAAGTATTTGGGCCTTAAAATGTTTTCTTTTTTTTAAAACAATTTAAAAAAAGACTGGTAAATATTGTGATGTTGCGTGCTGTTGTAGTCATGACCAGCTTCACTGTGCGGTGCGTGTTTCCATCACCGCTTTTGACGTTATCATTGCGTTACACGTAAAAAGACCATGCATTTGAAATCCGAATTGAGCAGCCAGAG